CCTCTTTAAGGGGGGGGGGGGGGGTCACCCCCTGTTATGAATGTACATGAAGCTAAATCGTAAGAGGCCCCAGAATTGAACCCTAATGAATAAACGATACTACGGGATCGTGATGTCCCGTCCCGTGATGTCCTTCTGGACCTCTCTGCTGCATTTGACACAGTCAACCACCAGATCCTTATTTCCTCCCTTCAGGAACTTGGTGTCTCAGGCTCTGCTCTCTCCCTTCTCTCGTCCTACCTCGACGGACGCACCTACCGTGTAACCTGGAGAGGATCTGTGTCGGAACCTTGTCCTCTTACTACTGGAGTTCCTCAGGGTTCCGTCCTGGGTCCCCTCCTCTTCTCGCTCTACACCAACTTTCTTGGCGCTGTCATTCGCTCGCATGGCTTCTCCTACCACAGCGATGCCGATGACACCCAACTAATCCTCTCCTTTCCTCACTCGGACACCCAGGTGGCGCCTCGGATCTCTACCTGTCTGACTGACATCTCTCAGTGGATCCGCCCACCATCTGAAAATCAACCCCGACAAGACTGAACTACTTCTCTTTCCCGGAAAAGATTCCCTTACCCAGGACCTGACAGTCAACTTTGGCAACTCCGTACTAACGCCCACTTTGACCGCTAAGAACCTCGGCGTCACACTCGACAGCCAACTCTCCCTGACTCCCAACATCACCGCGACAACGCGATCCTGTAGATACTCGCTCTACAACATCAGGAGAACACGTCCTCTTCTCACTCAGAAGGTACTGATTCAGGCTCTTCTCCCTCCTGGACTACTGTGACTCTCTCCTGCAGGTCTCCTGCTACCACCATTCCACCTCTGCAGCTCATCCAGAACGCAGCAGCTCCACTGGTCTCTAACCTTCCTAAGTTCTCCCTCACTCCTCCGCTCTCTTCACTGGTACCGGTGGCTCATCCAGTTCAAAACATTGGTGCTCACGTACCATGCTGTGAATGGATGGGGTCCAGCTTACATCCAGGACCTGGTCCAACCCGACATCCCAACCTCTGACCTCTCCGCTCTGCATGTGATAAACTGCTTGTTCCTCCTCACTGAGAGCAAGACACTCGACTAGATCTCCACTCTATGCTGTCCTGCTCCTAAATGGTGGAGGGAGGTCTCTGAAGACATCAGGACCACAGAGAGGCTTCACATCTTCAGACTAAAGACACACCTCTTCAGACTCTACCTCCACTAACACACTAACTACCTGTAGCACTTATATTATACTTGTAACGTCACTCATCTATAGCAAATTGTAAATTGGCTTATTTGATGAAATCACACTTTCTTGTTTCTTGTTCTCCTGAGTTTGTGTCCTTATGGTTTAATGCACTTATTGTAAGTCGCTTTGGATAAAAGCGTCAGATAAATGACATGTGATGTAATGTAATGATGTCGCGTCACGCAGACGTCCAAATTGTTTCACTCCACGTGATCGTGCCTGTTCCTTCATAAGTGGAAGAATTCTCTTCACATTATTCAAAGCTTTTAATGTCATAAATATACAGAGAGAGCGATATCTCTAAATACATTATATATACATATATATATATATTTATGTATGTATATAATGTATACCGAACATTGAATATTAATGACGCGAGTATTTATACTTTATTTGTATTGTTTCTTATGTTCATGTCACATAACGTGACTTGGTGGTGACGTCACTTCGGGCTGCAGCAGCACTGCGCGAGGGGAGAGTGAGACAGGTGGACAGACAGAGACATAGAGAGACAGGAAGCGGCGCGCGAACACAGTACAGGTGAACGCACGAGCTTCAACGCGCGCAGGAGGAAGAAGAAGAAGCAGCAGAAGAAGAAGAAGCTGCCCCCCCGCGGGGATGGTCGGAGATAAATAGCGCTGCGGGTCGTTTCCGCTGGTTTCCGGTGCCGCCCTCCTTCGTCCTCCTCTTCCTCCTCTTCCTCCTCTCCCGTCCCGCCGGTCTCGAGCCACCAGAAGCGGATTCCAGATCAGATCCTCCGGATCTCAGGAAGGAAGCAGGTGAAGGAAGCAGAGGAAGGAAGGAAGCAGGCGAAGGAAGCAGAGGAAGGAAGCTGCGTGCATCTGTGACGAGGAGCAGCGCACCTCAGGAGATGGAGGGCAAAGAGAAGGCGGCAGGTAGGACGGGGGGGACGGGGGGGACGGGGGGGGGGACTGCGGTGTCCCGTGGACGCAGCGCGCGGAGCCGCTCGGTTATTATGGGATGCGGAGAGTGCGTGTGCGTGTGCGTGTGCGAAGCCTGATGCAGCAAAACACACTGCGACAGTGAGACAGGTCGACAGGTGAGAGGGTTAATAAACCAAAACAAGGAGGTGAGACAGAGGACAGACAGGAGGACAGGGAGACAGGTGAGAGGGTTAATAAACCAAAACAAGGAGGTGAGACAGAGGACAGACAGGAGGACAGGGAGACAGACAAAGGGGTCTGTTAAAAAGCAGGAAGGAAGTAGCTCTGAGAGACAGACAGCAGAAAAGAGACCCATGTGAGGACAGACAGACAGGTGAGAGTATGCAGAGACAGACAGGAGGACTGAGGGACAGGGACGGACAGATTGAGGATGTGCTTGGGTGTGTCCTCCACAGAATGATGTATTGTGGGAGCTGCAGTTCTTTGTGAAGGAGCTCAGACAGACAGACAGAGAGACAGACATCGACCTCCCGAAGGCTTCTCCTCGCCTGCCGCCACACTATATGTACAGTGTACTGTGTACTGTGTACTGTGTACTATGTACTGTGTACTGTGTACTAATACACACTACATACTGATGCACTTTGTAATTTAAGAGTATCAGTTAGTAACAAAGTGACAAACAGAGTGTAAGACAGGTAGAGAGACAGACACGTCTCTCAGATTATTGATTATTTAAATGACCACATTTTACTCTGGAGCTTCCTGTCA